ACACCTCACTATCACATCCCACAACAAAGCAACACCTGATGCTCGACTCATAAGAAAGAGAGCACTGCAGCAGGCCCGCTGGCCCAACTAGACAGGTCCTTCACACAACCCACGAACAAACTATCCTACCAAAGGACTAAGAATTTTAAAATTTATTATTTGTTCAATGTATTATTAAATTCAGAGTTCATAGATGAGGAAATATCCCAAATTTATGAAATAGCTAATGATCTGAAATACCCAAGAAACGTAACTGATAAATCTTTTAAAATTGCTAGAAATACTTTTTATAATCCAAAAAGGGACAACCAGCCTTATTCAACTAAAAATATGTTGGTTCTCCCTTACCATGTTCTTATTTATTTTCTCTTATGTTCTTATTTATTTTATCTTATGTTCTTATTTATTTTTTCTTATGTTCTTATTTATTTTACTCTTATGTTCTTATTTATTTTACAGCTCTATACATCACTAGTGAGGCCTCATTTAGATTATGCTGCTCAGTTTTGGTCCCCTTACTACAGGATGGACATAGACTCATTAGAGAACATACAGAGAAGAATGACTAAAATGATTTACTGTGTAAGGAACCTCCCGTATGAAGATAGACTTAAAGCCTTAAATCTCCACTCTCTGGAGAGGCGTAGAATGAGGGGAGATATCATTGAAGTGTATAAGTGGATGACGGGCATAAACAAGGGAGACATTAATAAAGTACTGAGGGTGTCGAACCAGGTAAGAACCAGGAATAATGGATTTAAGTTGGATAAATTTAGATTTAGAAAGGACATAGGTAAGTACTGGTTTTCTAACAGAGTTGTAGATGCGTGGAACAGTCTTCCCAGTGGGGTGATAGAGGCTAGGACCTTGGGTAGCTTTAAGAAGAGACTGGACAAATATATGAGCGGGAGGGGCTGGGTTTGATTGGTGTTGGGGGGTGCGGGAGTTGTTTCTTGAGTAGCTTTAGGTAGATGTCGTTTTGATAAGGACCTGCCTCGTATGGGCCAGTAGGCCTTCTGCAGTGTTCCTACATTCTTATGTTCTTATGTTCTTGGTTGATGTGCCTTCTCTTCTTAAGACTTTTAATATTAAAGTTGTATTTAAAAATCTTGATACAGTAAAAAAACTTTTGATAAAGAATTCCCCCCAAAATGCTGACGGATGTGTCTCTAAGATTCCTTGTAAAATTTGCGATAAAGTTTATTATGGTCAAACTGGTAAAAGTCTCGAACTAAGATTAAAACAACATAAATATAGCATTAGAACTGGACAAGATTCCAATGCTCTATTTATTCACGTGAGAGATTTTAACCATCCAATTGATTTTCAAAAAGTTGAGAAAGTTGTATCAAGCAAGTCCATGGTTGACAGGAATATAATTTGTAAAGTTAAAGGACACAAGTGCAACTAATGTGACATTTTACTGTGGCAACGTTTCGCTCTCCAGGAGCTTTGTCAAGCCGATACGATATCGGCTTGACAAAGCTCCTGGAGAGCGAAACGTTGCCACAATGAAATGTCACATTAGTTTCAATTATGTCCTTTCACTTTACATATTGTCGGTAATTCTACCAACATTATTACAAAGGAATATAATTGAATCTTGTTTCATAAAAAGCAGATTTTATAATAATATGAATATTTCCTTTGGTTTATATAAATTAGATCCATTTATAATTAATAGAATTTGGGAAGAAGTTAATAATACATTGGACAAATAATAAATTTTAAAATTCTTAGTTCTTGGGTAGAATAGTTTGTTCGTGGGTTGTGCGAAGGACCTGTCTAGTTGGGCCAGCGGGCCTGCTGCAGTGTTCACTTTCTTATGAGTCGCGCATCAGACGTTGCTTTGTTGTGGGATGTAATAGTGGGGTGTGGTCTAGACCATTTATATGCCTTCCTCTGATGCATCACTTTTATTGTTCCTTGATAATGTGAGTAGTCACGAAACCACTTGAAATTTCTCTATTCTTTCACAGTGGTTGTTTTGAATATTCTGAAATCACCTGTTTACTGTGATCTTATTGCATTAATATATATATATATATATTATATATATATATATATATATATATATATATATATATATATATGTATGTATTTATATATATATACATATATATATATATATATATATATATATATATATATATATATATATATATATATATATATATATATATTTTTTATTTTTTTTTTTTTTTTTTTATTATCACACCGGCCGATTCCCACCAAGGCAGGGTGGCCCGAAAAAGAAAAACTTTCACCATCATTCACTCCATCACTGTCTTGCCAGAAGGGTGCTTTACACTACAGTTTTTAAACTGCAACATTAACACCCCTCCTTCAGAGTGCAGGCACTGTACTTCCCATCTCCAGGACTCAAGTCCGGCCTGCCGGTTTCCCTGAATCCCTTCATAAATGTTACTTTGCTCACACTCCAACAGCACGTCAAGTATTAAAAAACCATTTGTCTCCATTCACTCCTATCAAACACGCTCACGCATGCCTGCTGGAAGTCCAAGCCCCTCGCACACAAAACCTCCTTTACCCCCTCCCTCCAACCCTTCCTAGGCCGACCCCTACCCCGCCTTCCTTCCACTACAGACTGATACACTCTTGAAGTCATTCTGTTTCGCTCCATTCTCTCTACATGTCCGAACCACCTCAACAACCCTTCCTCAGCCCTCTGGACAACAGTTTTGGTAATCCCGCACCTCCTCCTAACTTCCAAACTACGAATTCTCTGCATTATATTCACACCACACATTGCCCTCAGACATGACATCTCCACTGCCTCCAGCCTTCTCCTCGCTGCAACATTCATCACCCACGCTTCACACCCATATAAGAGCGTTGGTAAAACTATACTCTCATACATTCCCCTCTTTGCCTCCAAGGACAAAGTTCTTTGTCTCCACAGACTCCTAAGTGCACCACTCACTCTTTTTCCCTCATCAATTCTATGATTCACCTCATCTTTCATAGACCCATCCGCTGACACGTCCACTCCCAAATATCTGAATACGTTCACCTCCTCCATACTCTCCCTCCAATCTGATATTCAATCTTTCATCACCTAATCTTTTTGTTATCCTCATAACCTTACTCTTTCCTGTATTCACCTTTAATTTTCTTCTTTTGCACACCCTACCAAATTCATCCACCAATCTCTGCAACTTCTCTTCAGAATCTCCCAAGAGCACAGTGTCATCAGCAAAGAGCAGCTGTGACAACTCCCACTTTGTGTGTGATTCTTTATCTTTTAACTCCACGCCTCTTGCCAAGACCCTCGCATTTACTTCTCTTACAACCCCATCTATAAATATATTAAACAACCACGGTGACATCACACATCCTTGTCTAAGGCCTACTTTTACTGGGAAAAAATTTCCCTCTTTCCTACATACTCTAACTTGAGCCTCACTATCCTCGTAAAAACTCTTCACTGCTTTCAGTAACCTACCTCCTACACCATACACTTGCAACATCTGCCACATTGCCCCCCTATCCACCCTGTCATACGCCTTTTCCAAATCCATAAATGCCACAAAGACCTCTTTAGCCTTATCTAAATACTGTTCACTTATATGTTTCACTGTAAACACCTGGTCCACACACCCCCTACCTTTCCTAAAGCCTCCTTGTTCATCTGCTATCCTATTCTCCGTCTTACTCTTAATTCTTTCAATTATAACTCTACCATACACTTTACCAGGTACACTCAACAGACTTATCCCCCTATAATTTTTGCACTCTCTTTTATCCCCTTTGCCTTTATACAAAGGAACTATGCATGCTCTCTGCCAATCCCTAGGTACCTTACCCTCTTCCATACATTTATTAAATAATTGCACCAACCACTCCAAAACTATATCCCCACCTGCTTTTAACATTTCTATCTTTATCCCATCAATCCCGGCTGCCTTACCCCCTTTCATTTTACCTACTGCCTCACGAACTTCCCCCACACTCACAACTGGCTCTTCCTCACTCCTACAAGATGTTATTCCTCCTTGCCCTATACACGAAATCACAGCTTCCCTATCTTCATCAACATTTAACAATTCCTCAAAATATTCCTTCCATCTTCCCAATACCTCTAACTCTCCATTTAATAACTCTCCTCTCCTATTTTTAACTGACAAATCCATTTGTTCTCTAGGCTTTCTTAACTTGTTAATCTCACTCCAAAACTTTTTCTTATTTTCAACAAAATTTGTTGATAACATCTCACCCACTCTCTCATTTGCTCTCTTTTTACATTGCTTCACCACTCTCTTAACTTCTCTCTTTTTCTCCATATACTCTTCCCTCCTTGCATCACTTCTACTTTGTAAAAACTTCTCATATGCTAACTTTTTCTCCTTACTACTCTCTTTACATCATCATTCCACCAATCGCTCCTCTTCCCTCCTGCACCCACTTTCCTGTAACCACAAACTTCTGCTGAACACCCCTAACACTACATTTTTAAACCTACCCCATACCTCTTCGACCCATTGCCTATGCTCTCATTAGCCCATCTATCCTCCAATAGCTGTTTATATCTTACCCTAACTGCCTCCTCTTTTAGTTTATAAACCTTCACCTCTCTCTTCCCTGATGCTTCTATTCTCCTTGTATCCCATCTACCTTTTACTCTCAGTGTAGCTACAACTAGAAAGTGATCTGATATATCTGTGGCCCCTCTATAAACATGTACATCCTGAAGTCTACTCAACAGTCTTTTATCTACCAATACATAATCCAACAAACTACTGTCATTTCGCCCTACATCATATCGTGTATACTTATATATATATATATATATATATATATATACGAATTGCCATAGGAACACTCTTCCAAGTGGGTAGGTAATGTGTATGCCATTTACCATGGTACCAGAGACCATGGGAGTCACAGTTTATAAGAAAAATGAATCTAACATTCAGTTTTGGCTGTAAATTTACCAGGAGCAGTGAAGATGGCATTTACCAAGAGAACAGTGAACTTACCAAGAGAGCAGTGACCATGGGAGCCACGAGTATCCATATATGTGGCAGGTTACTGTAGCTTCGCCAACAGTGTACTTCGTGTTGGAAGTACATAGTCGTAGCCCAGGCTATGATGAACACTAGTGGCACTCCTGTAATGATGAACACTAATGAACATCATAATTAACTCTCTCGCATCTAATGCTGACCTCAGTCTATGATGCAGTGTATACTGTGGGTTTCACTATTTGTCAGACACCGGAATAAAATTAAATAAATATATAGTGCCACTGATAATGTAGATAGTGACTGATTCCAACCTATGATGATGCTTATAGTGACTGACTCCAGCTTAGTAGATAGTGACTGAACCCGTTTATGGTTTAGTAGATAGTGATTAACCCCAGCCTATGATGCAATATATAGTGAATGACCGCAGCCTATGGTGTAGTAGATAGTGACTGACCCCAGCCTATGGTGTAGTAGATAGCAAAGGGAGCGCCGGAGTCGAAGACATTGGAGGTGAGTCTGGAGTGGAGGAAGAGGCCCTCCACGAACATCCAGTTGATGGATGCCATCTGAGCGTACATGGTGAGTGCCAGAAGTGTCTTGCATACCCAGTCCTGCAATACACACAGTGTTAATCCTGCAACACAGTGTAAATCCTGCAACACACACACAGTGTTAGTCCTGCAACACACACACACACACACACACATTGTTAGTCCAGCAACACACACACACACACACAAACACAGTGTTAGTCCAGCAACACAAACACATGCAGTGTTAGTCCTGCAACGCATACACATGCAGTGTTCTGCAACACACAGACAGACACACACACACACACACACACGACATATAAAATACTGCGTGGAATAGACAAGGTGGACAAAGACAGGATGTTCCAGGGAGGGGACACAGAAACAAGAGGCCACAATTGGAAGTTGAAGACACAAATGAGTCAGAGAGATAGTAGGAAGTATTTCTTCAGTCATAGAGTTGTAAGGCAGTGGAATAGCCTAGAAAATGACGTAGTGGAGGCAGGAACTATACACAGTTTTAAGACGAGGTTTGATAAAGCTCATGGAGCGGGGAGAGAGAAAGGGCCCAGTAGCAACCGGTGAAGAGGCGGGGCCAGGAGCTAAGACTCGACCCCTGCAACCACAAATAGGTGAGTACAAATAGGTGAGTACACACACACACACACACACACACACACACACACACACACACACAGTGTTAGTCTTGCAGTAGTACAGGGCCAGAACGTTTGAAATTGAGAACCAGCAACAAGGAAACATATACATAAACCTAAAAAAAACACACACACAAAGTTCATCAGAACATTCAGACAGTTTTTTCAACCTTCCTTTTTTTTTAATGAGATTTTACCTTAAATAAGAAACCAGGTTATTTTCTTTATATTCATTACTTAAGAGCTATTATTCATTAAAAAGTAAATGTATACTCAAAAAAAGTCTTAATAACGCAAATGGAATGCATTAAGATGCCACATGGCTTGTCACTTGGCACTCAGGTGTGTCAACAAGTGTGCGTGACTGCAAGCGCTTTAAACACTTTAAATTATAAAATAATAAAAAAAGAATTGTTAGCTTTATTAATACGAATATTTATATAGATGAGGTAGAGTGAAGACGCTAATAAATATAAGTTTACGATCCAGTCATTAAGCTCGTCATTCGACTACAGATGCGAGGCAGTAAACACTGACTCGGAGCTTCAGGAAGCTTGACTGGCGACATCGTTATGACACGACTGTAAACAAGCCAGTTTTGAAACTAGCAGGGCAGTGTAACGCACTGCCTTGCTAGTTCAGGACTGTCGTTCCTTGGGTCCCAACCCCAGCTCAGTTCAATAAGCTTCAGATAGTTTTTCTTGCATCGCCTGTCGAAGAGGATCTTAGAGCCAGACTGATATATATACAGATAACTATTCTCTTGTCACGAAAGAACTAAAAGCACAATAGTGTGACTAGAAAAATACACAAATAACACGCACAAGCGAGAGAAAAGCTTACGACGGCGTAATTGATCCAGGTCGGATCGAAACGTCGTCGTAAGCTTCTCTCTCCTATACCCTTGTCGGTTTAGAACTTTATTTGATTACATAAATAATTATCTCTTCTATGTGCGGGTTATTTCTTGTCTTTTTCTCCGTGTTTTTGTTCCGTTAATACAAACAAGGCACAAGACCACCCTAGAAAAAGCGAAAAGTGAAAATATGTTTTTATCACAATTACGGTTGAAAAAACTTTTTTATAAATATAAAAAATCATGACATTTCGGTAGTTTTCCCCATTTTTTGAAATGGGTATTTAAAACAATCCACTAGTGTCCACCAGACATCATCAGTGCTGCTTCAAAAGGTGTGTTTGTGAATATAAATGTTGGGCTAGTGTTGGTGTAAGGAAATGGATTATTTTAGTAATGGTAACTTGGTATCCAATATATCTATATATATGTATATATATATATGTATATATATATATATATATATATATATATATATATATATATATATATATATATATATATATATATATATATATATATATTTCCTATTTCTCTTGACAAATTACCACAATTATGAAAAGGGAACAGGTAAGCAAAAATCCTTACGTATGTTGTATTAGGTGCTATACATTATTACACACACTGTATTACTTGTAGTCACTTCATCAGTTCATTATAATCTTTCGCAAAAAAAAAAAAAAAAAAACTCAAATAAATCCAAATAAATATTAAGAGAAATATTTTTACAATTAGCATTTAATGTAAAGAAAATTTCTTCCCATTTGTGTTATTCTTGCAAAAATGTACATTAACTATTTTATATATGGATAATTATTATATGAGTAAGTGTCCTGGTCCAACAGCTGCACTACTCCACAAAGGTAATCATCAATAGGTAATTATAAATAAATAGTTGCAAATAAGTAATCACATAGGTAGACACGTGCGGGATATCACAAACAGGTATCTGAAAATTGGTATTTACGAAAAGTTAACGATATGTAGGAAACTACGAATAGGTAATTACATGAGGGTAACTACGAATATGTAATTATATGAGGGTAACTACGAATAGGTAATTATATGAGGGTAACTACGAATAGGTAATTACATGAGGATAACTACGAATAGGTAATTACATGAGGGTAACTACGAATAGGTAATTACATGAGGGTAGCTACGAATAGGTAATTACATGAGGGTAACTACGAATAGGTAATTACATGAGGGTAGCTACGAATAGGTAATTATATGAGGGTAACTACGAATAGGTAATTACATGAGGGTAGCTACGAATAGGTAATTATATGAGGGTAACTACGAATAGGTAATTACATGAGGGTAACTACGAATAGGTAATTACATGAGGGTAACTACGAATAGGTAATTACATGAAGGTGACTACGAATAGAACATAGGAAAAAAGGAGAACAGCAGCAGGCCTACTGGCCCATGCTAGGCAGGTAATGAGAGAGACAGTGAGGCACTCACCACGTCGCGATAGGTGTTGGACTGTCGATGGAAGATGAAGGGTTCACTGAGGACGAGCATCACCAGGAAGTGTATGATGAGAGACACTACCAGGTTCCTGTGTACCCGCAGTCGGTCACACTCCAGCGTCCTGAGTCATTGTAACGATTTATGGGAGCCATTCTATGAGGGTTTTACAACCCCACGTAATACGAGGCATTGTGTGGGGGTGTTAGGTAACGTGTGAGGTGTTAGGTGTTATGTGAGACATTGTAGCTGCTACTGTATCAAATAACTTCCTTGTAGTGTAAAAAATATACAATTGAGTCGTACTTGTCTCTCTTGCATGATGTGCACGCTCCCAGCGTGATGCTCAAGCTCCCAGCATGATGCCCAAGTTCCTAGCATGATGCTCAAACTCCCAGCATGATTCCCACGGTCCCAGCATGATGCCTAAGCTCCCAGCATGATTCACAAACTCCCAGCATGATGCCTAAGCTCCCAGCATGATTCCCAAACTCCCAGCATGATGCCTAAGCTCCCAGCATAAGGCCCAAGCTTCTAGCATGATGCCCAAGCTCCCAACATGATGCCCAAGCTCCTAGCATGATGCCCAAACTCCCAGCATGATACCTAAGCTCCCAGCATGATTCCCAAGCTCCTAGCATGATGCCCAAGGTCCCAGCATGATGCCCAAGGCCCCAGCATGATACCTAAGCTCCCAGCATGATGCTCAAGCTCCTAGCATGATGCCCAAGCTCCCAGCATGATACCTAAGCTCCCAGCATAAGGCTCAAGCTCTCTGCATGATGCTCAAGCTCTCTGCATGATGCTCAAGCTCTCTGCATGATGCCCAAGCTCCTAGCATGATGCCTAAGCTCCCAGCATGATACCTAAGCTCTCAGCATGATGCCCAAGCTCCTAGCATGATGCCCAAACTCCCAGCATGATACCTAAGCTCCCAGCATGATTCCCAAGCTCCTAGCATGATGCCCAAACTCCCAGCATGATGCCCAAGCTCCTAGCATGATGCCCAAGCTCCCAGCATGATGCCCAAGCTCCCAGCATGATGCCCAAACTCCCAGCATGATTCCCAAGCTCCCAAAATTGATATTCTCTTGTAAAATTCCAATAGGCTCTTTACGTTGGACATTTTTCCCTATATCCCCCTTAGTTTTCTACGTGATATCTCCTGCTGATGCAGCATTAACCTATTTTTTTTTATTTTCCCGATAATTAGGAAGTACACATGTGTGAATGTGTGTGTGTGACTTTACAAGCATGAGAGTGTGCGTGCGAGTGTGAATTCCAGAAGTTAGGACTGAGGCTCTTAAGAAGATGAAACTCATATGCAGAGTGCTTTCAGGCTTTAGGAGACCACTTCTTGGGTAGTCAGACGAAGTCAAGAATACCCATCACAAACACTGTTTTGTTCCTTTATATTAGGGAGAATAAGAGACGGAGGGATTATATGAAGGAAAGAGAGAGCGAGAAATAAGCAGAGTGCAAAAACTCTCTCTCTCTCTCTCTCTCTCTCTCTCACACACACACACACACACACACACACACACACACACACACACACACACACACACACACACACACACACAGTATTCCTGGAAGACCTCACCAATTTCGAAGATTAAGTGTCCTGACTAGACTCGACTTCAGTATCGAATCTAACGATCTTTGCTGTCTTTTCTGTTAAATTCTGCCAATTTCATACTACATAAAAAAATCCTAAGGGAGTCATTAGAAAGGCAGAGCTACTGATTTCGATCTGTTCGTACCTTTTTTCTTATCTTTTATTGTCAGTATATATATATATATATATATATATATATATATATATATATATATATATATATATATATATATATATATTATTGTAACCACGAACGAGTGGTATTGATCAATAACAACACTGCGCTAGCCAAGGATTCGAACCCATGTTATACTGGCCTGCCTCATGGTAAGCGAGAACCACATGATGCTTTAAACCACAGGACCACCCAACCCTACAAAAATGGCGCAGCCAGCAATGCTAGCTGTTGGGCCGCCATCCGAGGACATACGGAGGTGTGGGAGCTTCTAAGCTAATTTCATTCTCATCCCTGTTTGGTGTACTAGCCTTACGAGCAACATTTACATATTATTGTAACCAACAGCTAGCATTGCTGGCTGCGCCATTCTTGTAGGGTTGGGTGGTCCTGTGGTTTAAAGCGTCATGTTCTCGCTTACCATGAGGCAGGCCAGTACAACATGGGTTCGAATCCTTGGCTAGCGCAGTGTTGTTATTGATCAATACCACTCGTCCGTGGTTACAATAATATATATATATATATATATATATATATATATATATATATATATATATATATATAAGGGGATCCTCTCCCCCATTTCTTATCTGTATAACGGTTAGGGAAATCACTGTCAGGCTGACCAATGAGATAAACACCTGGTTCCTGCTTAATGGCGCACTGGCGGATACAAAGGAGTCCCTTCTTAATGATCGTGCCCAGGTGAGGACACGGGAACAGGAAATGACATTCATCCTGGATCCAACCATATGTGAAATCGACTCAGTGAGATCAAGATTACCAGGAGCATCAGTCATTGCCCTCACAAATAGCGTCTTGCTTGGAGCACCTCTGGGAACTGATGCCACTGACTCAGTTCTCAGAAAGAAATTGGACGAGTTGAGAAGGATGGAGCAACGAATAAGCAATCTTGACACCCACGAGGCCTTGTGCCTTCTCACAAAGTCTTGAGTCTGCCCAGGTTAACATATTTCCTAAGATGTGCACCCTCATATGGTAATCCTATACTTCATGAATACGACAGTATCCTGAAGCATATTTTTATGAAAGCACTCAGCCTTACTCTAGAAAACGGGCAGTGGGACCAAACTACACTTCCAGTCAGACTATGAGGCACTGGTGTCCGCAAGGCATCACAGAATGCACTACCTGCTTTCCTGTCCTCATGTGTTGCATCCAGTAGATTTGTAGCAGCAATTCCCCCTGAACACCTTAGGGACAAACCTTAAGTTCATGACCAAAAGTTCATTGACGGAGCCAGGCTCTGGGATAATCTAACAGGCTCTGAAACGAGACCTGCGCCCCTCAACAACTACAGTCGCACTGAGATGGCCCAATAGTGGAGAATATAGCCTCAAGAGTACCTGAGAGTGTGTCGAGGAAGGATAGATCCCTCCTCCTAGCAGTGAGAGCTTCTCATGCAAGTGACTTCCTGTTGGCTGTTCCCAACTCCTCTCTTGGCACACGTCTCGACCCACAGACCTTCCGCGTTGGTGTTGCCCTTTGCCTCTCTGTCCCTACTCTCGCCGAACACAGGTATATTTGCGGCAGTGAATCGGCAGACTGATTCGGGTACCATGGTCTTGTTTGCCGTAGATCCAAGGCAAAGACTGCAAGGATGAAGAGGCTAATAACATCAAGAGGAGCCTCACAAAAGCTGTATGTCCAGCAATAAGGGAGCCACCCCAACTATGCAGAACTGACGGTAACCAAAAGCGTCCAGATGGTATCAGCCTTCAAGCCTGGATGAACGGTAGACAGATGGTGTGGGACTACACATATGCGTCCACATTGGCTGATACCTATCTTCAATACACCAAGGAGGAAGAAGGGGCAGCTTCCAGCTTCAGGAAGTCTGAGAATTTGTTCCCACAGGCTCGGAGACTCTTGGCCCATGAGTAAAGAATGCCTCTAAGTTTCTTAAAGAGCTAGGCAAAAGACTCATCAGGATAACTAGGGATCCGAGGGCGGATAGTTTTCTGTTGCATCGACTCAGTGCTGCGGTTCAGAGGGGTAATGCCAGCTGTATCCTGCGTACGCGCCCCAGGTCTGAGTAGCAGGATGAGATTTTCGCATTGTAATCTGTGACAAACACGTAGCAGTATGTACTTGAAATGTATCCCTCAAACTTCGTGTAGTCTTTGTACCAGCTATGTGTCTTCTAAGTCTTGTGTACCATATTATGTAACACAGGAGAAGAAATTATTCAAACAGCTTCGGGGAGAATCTTGAATTTACCCTGATGTACGTTTATTCTCTTACACACACACACACACACACACACACACACACACACACACACACACACACACACACACACACACACACACACACTGAGCTTCGCTATGCCGTACATAAGATATGACTATTTTGTACTTTATAAAAGAAAATTATATATTTTCTTGACGTTGCATGCGGACTTGTGCTGCTGTCTTCCCTCAGTCCATATATAATAATTTATGTCTTGCTTAATAACCACAATCAGCAGACTTGGCTCATTTGGCAACGCTGGTATAGCAAGATTAGCTGAACTTATGTTATTGTCAGCTATAATTCTCTTCCCTCTTTGATTTATGTCCTCCCTAACTAATTATATATTTGAGGCTTTTAATAGGCTTCCGACCTGGCTTAATAAGCAAGGATCATTTTTACCAGGTAAGCCGAGCATTTATTCTTTTTTTCATGGTATAACTTACCTCCTTTCCAAATTTGCTGTCTAAGTCCTTTTTTCCAGTTCACTCTTTCACTCCATATTTCTATCCGTTTCTCCCTCACCACTCTCTTCACCCTTACCCTTTATCACAGCATCCCTCCCCTACCCTCCCTCTCTCTCTCTCTCTCTCTCTCTCTCTCTCTCTCTCTCTCTCTCTATCTGTCTCTCTCTTTCTCCTCATCTCACCCTCCTTCCTTTCCCCTCTCGCCCAATCCTACCCGAAACCTACATAAATACATATATTTTCTCTTTCAGCTATATTTTTCTCGACTTAGCTTATTTGGCAAGAATCATTTTGCCAGAAACGCAAAGTTTTTACTAATTTTACCACTGCTCTGTCGTATACTAATATGGGGTACATCAGTATATTAATGTACGACAGTGATGGTAATCGATGAGATCTAAGATTCGTTGGGCAGGAACTAGCTGCAGAATTTTTTTATGAATGTTAAGTTCGGATGTAATGTCACTTACAGAGGAAAATAAAAGTAAATGATCGGTTCTACAATTCGCCTAAAAAATATTTAGTGTTGCCTAAGATATTTATTTATGCCTAGTTTAAAATATCTCACAATTCCTGATGTAAGATATGTAACATTTTTTCCCCCCTAAAAATATATAATACTGTCTAAGATATATTTTAAAGTTAGGACTAAATTTGCAAAATAATTTTTATTTCTATGAATATTCGATTTGTTTAATCCCTGTGGCTAAAATAAACATGAAGTAAATAAGGTGTTGAAAAGAAGAGTACTCTATATATCGACCTCAACTCGGTTCCTCTTCAGCAGATTGCTGAAGAGGTCGTCAGTGGAAGACTGAATCAGACTCGTGTACAGTTCGGGATATTTATTAATGGAAACTTATCGCCACGAGTGGCTTCTCATGACTGAAGAGTCAACTACTAGTGTAAAGTTTCCCATAATGTCATCAACAGTACCTAAGTGTCTTCGGCTACAGCTTGGTAGTATCACTATGTTATTCTCTTCCAATTTCCCTCCCCCCCCTCCTTCCACACACACAGTATGTGGTATATACTCACCTAAAGTAAGTGAAAATGAAGATAGTGAGGGAGAGAGTGAGGAGGGAGAGGATAGCACCGATGAAGGTGATGTACCTCACAGCTTCTACCACACTGAAGGAACCAGTCTGGGGGGAAATGAGTTATTATTATTATTATTATTATTATCATTATTATTATTATTATTATTATTATTATTATTATTATTATTATTATTATTATTATTATTATTATTATTATACTCACAGGGAAGCACTAACCCCGTCGAGGTTATACTCCTCTTGGGAATGAGAGGCAATCAGGTTCGATCCAAGGAACAGAAAAGTGGCGTCGATTCCTGGGATCGAGACCCTTTCGCTGGCAACAGGGCGATTAGACAGATTTAATGCTATATATACACACTGTGTACTCTCATGCGCGCACACACATAAGGGCGCATTGTGCATATATGTACATATATATATATATATATATATATATATATATATATATATATATATATATATATGTCGTGCCGAATAGGCAGAACTTGCGATCTTGGCTTAAATAGCAACGCTCATCTTGCCATATAGGACAAGTGAAAATTTGTGTATGCAAGAATTTCGCCAAAATCATTCTGAGCCTAACGAAAAAAATATATTTCACTTTGTTTAGTATTAAATTGTTGTAAACAAATCCAAAATATATTTAGTTGGGTTAGGCTAAAATAAATTGTTCTTGTTATAATAAGGTTAGGTAAGTTTTCTAAGTTCCTTTTAGTGCAAAATTATAAATATTTACATCAACATTAATGAAAAAAATATATCTTTAAACGTATAAGAGAAAATTTTAGAAAGGACTTAATTTTAAATGAGTTCTTGCTAATTGACCAGTTTTACATATTCGGCACGACATATATATATACATATAGTATATATATATATATATAATATATATATATATATTATATATATATATATATATATATATATATATATATATATTTATATATATATGTCGTGCCGAATAGGCAGAACTGCCGTCTTGGCTTAAATAGCAACGCTCATCTTGCCATATAGGACAAGCGAAAATTTGTGTATGCAATAATTTCGCCAAAATCATTCGGAACCTAACGAAAAAAATATATTTCACTGTGTTTGTTTAGTATTAAATTATTGTAAACAAATCTAAAATATATATAGTTGGGTTAGGCTAAAATAAATTACTCTTGTTATAATAAGGTTAGGTAAGTTTTCTAAGATTCTTTTGGTGCAAAATTAAAAATTTTTACATTAACATTAATGAAAAATATATATCTTTAAACGTATATGATAAAATTTCAGAAAGGACTTAATTTTAAATGAGTTCTTGCTAACTGACCAGTTTTACATATTCGGCATATATATATATATATATATATATATATATATATATATATATATTATATATATATATATATATATATATATATATATATATATATATATAAACCGTTACCCTGAGCACTGTGAGAAAACAGGAATTATATGTCTGATGGCCATAATGTTGGTGTTATTTAATGTTAACAACTTTAACAGGGAGTAAGTGTGCCAGACAGGCCCTACTGATGCCAGTAATAAATATACTTAAAGAGACTCGTTGCCTTCGGAGGATCTTGCAGCAGTAAAGTTCTCGTGATCAGCCTTGAGCAACACTGGAGCCTCTTCTAGAAACTTCTTGACTTAGTTGTATGACAGTGGTGGTATTATTACGTCTAGGAGATGGCAAGAGAGAGAGCCTATGAGAATTGACCCAGTGTTGGGTGTGTACTCACCTAATTGTACTCACCTAATTCTGGCTGCAGGGGTCGAGACTCAGCTCCTGGCCCCGCCTCTCCACTGAACGCTACTAGGTCCTCTCTCTCCCTGCTCCATGAGCTTCATCATACCTCGTGTTAAAGCTATGTATGGTTCCTGCCTCCACTACATCACTCGCCAGGCTGTTCCACTTTCTGACAACTCTGTGACTGAACAAATACTTGCTAACATCCCTTTAACTCATCTGAGTCTTCAGCTTCCAATTGTGACCTCTTGTTTCTGTGTCCCCTCTCTGGAACATCCTGTCTCTGTCCAATTTGTCTATTCCACGCAATATTTTGTATGTCGTTATCATGTCTCCCCTAACCCTGAACTAACCTTGTCGCAAACCTTTGCACTGTGTGTGTGTGTGTGTGTGTGTGTGTGTGTGTGTGTGTGTGCGTGTGCGTGTGCGTGTGCGTGTGCGTGTGTGTGTGTGTGTGTGTGTGTGTGTGTGTGTGTGTGTGTGTGTGTACTCACCTAACTGTGGCTACAGGGGGTTAATTCATAGCTCCTGGCCCCGCCTCTTCTCTGCTTGCTACTAGGTCTACCACTCCCTACTCCATGAGCTTTATCATGTGTGTGTGTACTCACCTATTTGTACTCACCTATTGTGGTTGCAGGGGTCGATTCATAGCTCCTGGCCCCGCCTTTTCACGGATTGCTACTAGGTCCTCTCTCTCCCTGCTCCACGAGCTTTATCAAGCCTAGTCTTAAAACTATGTATGGTTCCCGCCTCCACTACGTCACTTTCTAGGCTATTCCACTTCCTGACAACTCTATGACTGAAGAAATACTTCCTAACATCCCTTTGATTCATCTGAGTCTTCAACTTCCAATTGTGACCTCTTGTTTCTGTGTCCCATCTCTGGAACATCCCGTCTTTGTCCACCTTGTCTATTCCGCGCAGTATTTTATATGTCGTTATTATGTCTCCCTTGACCCTCCTGTCCTCCAGTGTCGTCAGGCCGATTTCCCTCAACCTTTCTTCGTAGGACAATCCCCTTAGCTCTGGAACTAGTTTTGCTGCAAACCTTTGCACGTTCTCTAATTTCTTGACGTGCTTGACCATGTGTGGATTCCAAACTGGTGCTGTTTACTCCAGTATGGGCCTGACGTAAATGGTGTACAGAGTGTGTGTGTGTGTGTGTGTGTGTGTTTTAAAGTGACTGTTGACATAGTTTACTCATTGTTTTCTGTTCTTCAGTTATTCACATGTCATCCTCTGTATGACTTCCCGTTTGAGTCTCTGTTCTATTGTTTTCCCCTGCCAATGCCTGTTTTTGTACCTATCTCCTTCTGTTTGTCTTTCTGCCTTTCTCTCTGATTCCTACAAAACATTTTCTGTTCCGCTTCATTACAAGTCGACCACAGAACGAGAGGGCAAGACAAACAGAGAAATGTAAAGACTGTTTCCTTAACCTGAACAAAGATTCACTCGAAAACATTTCGTATAATTGGCCTTAACTGAATTCCATTTATCTTTATCAACCTCAGTTTTTATCTCCACTCTCCTCTGTCTCCATTGTTGTTTATCCTCCTCTTTCTCCGTTGTTCTCCATTCTCCTCTGTAGCCATTGTTCTCCATCTTTCTCTGAGTTCATTGTTCTCCTTCCTACTCTATTATTTCTTCTCGCCTGTTTTATATTTTACCCCCAACCAATACTTCCTAGGATAATCTTAACATACTATATTTCATATAGTATGTTAGGATAATCGAGACTCCAGCACTCTCCTCACTGAATAATCCATCCGGGTTTAGCGTATCAAATACATATCATAATAACTTTGATTTAATATAAATTCTGTAAACCTCTGCTCCGGTCTCTGTATAATCTTCCGTTTGTTATATCTATCATCGTCTGTTATGATCTTTGTCTTCCTCTCTCATGATCTTTGTCTTCTTCTGTCATGACCTTAGTCTTCCTCTGTGTATCATGATCATTACCTTCCTCTGTTATGATTTTGGCCCCTTTCCTCTATGCTTCTTAATGCCTTCCTTCCTCTGTATGTCTTAATGTCTTCCTTCCTTTGTGTGTCTTAATGTCTTCCTTCCTCTGTGTGTCTTCCTCTTTGTATCATGATCTCTGCCTTCCTCTCTTTTTCGTAATATCTACTTTCCTTCATTTCTCTACCTTTATTATTTTGTCTGTCTCTCTCTCTCTCTCAGCTACATGTTCCCATCCGCCCTCACGCAAAATCCCTTAATGGAGGCACGCTACCCAAACTCGATGTGAGTTAGTGTCATTCGAAATTCATGCTGGTTGGCTATGGTGAATAGATTTGCAATTGCTGCTAAGTGTCTGGGATGATCCTGGAACAACATGCAGTTACTGAGGAATTAACTAGGATCGATGTGGACCGATTCAGCGGCTTCACTCTCTGAAGACCACCACCATGTTCCTACTGGGCCACCGATTATGCTACATCTACAGAACCTAACTCTTTGCACCCTTCCTACATACAGTTTGAGTAATCATAGAACTGGCAATACATAGCACTGGTTGACCCACGTTGGCTTGCAGCGTCACGAAATGCAGTTTACTAAAAACCTGCTCTTGCGCATTCGATGGCCTAGTCGGCACGGAAGAAGCAAAAATAGCCGGACATTTATTTTCATAAAATGGGGGTCAATAAAATACTAAAAAGTAAAATGGTACCTAGCTACATTTTTCTCGAGTTTTGGTTGACAGTTTGTTACTCCTGTTGTAAGTCTGACAACACAGATGTATGCTGATCGTTTCGGTCCCTTCTGGAGCATAATCAAGTGATTTGATAAGGATCCAGAACAGACTAAAACGTCGTCTAAAACTTCCTCTCAAGAGTGTGCAGCATTTGGGAATTTTGCCTTTAATTACACCTACACAAATAATATCACAGGACTTCATGTAATGACTTTTACTAAAAAAATGTAAGTTGAAAGACCTTCAACAATTTAGTCAAATCTGTAATTTTTTGCTGACCTGGATTTCAATACAGTGACCTGTAATGAGGTGTAGCAACCTGCAGCGCGTTACAGTATTGAAGTGTGGTGACCTCAACTGACCTGCAGTAATTTGTAGTGATGCTGGAGCGACCTGCAGCGACATGCACTGACTTGTAATGATCTGGATTGACATGTAGGGACCTTGACTGACCTGTAGTAACATGGAGCGACTTGAAGCGACCTGGACTGACCTGGTGGTCGATGACACTTAGACACTGCGAGTAGTTGGTCCAGTTTCCCCACAGCCAGGACCCCGACACGTCGCACTCACGGTACGCCAGCGCTGCAGATACACGGCACATTGTCATGTGGTACGCTTTCATGGTACATTGTGATCGTACACACATTTTAGTGCGCTAGTGGTGTGCTGGTGGCACACTGATATTACACTGTCATAGCATACTATGATTCACAAATAGCAAGCACATAGTAAAGCGAATATCTTATGACGACGTTTCAATCCGACTTGGACCATTTACAAGTCATACTGTGACTTGTAAATGGTCGTCATAAGCTTTTTTCTCTCCTATATGCGGGTTATTTGTGTATTGTTCCAGTCACGGTATTGTGACTTATTGTGCAGCATACTATGGTGTTACACTGATGGAACACTGTGATGGTATACTGCAATATATACACTGATAGAACACTGGGACAGTGGGGTATGACGAGACACTGATGGTACACTGATGATATAGTGTTTCCAGAGCTCTGTAGTACTATTTACCTCGTAGAGCTGGTTAGCAGGAGAGGAAAAAAAGAGCCCTCTTGAGATAAGAATTATTATTACTATTGTTGTTGTTGTTGTTGTTGTTGTTGTTGTTGTTGTTGTTGTTGTTGTTGTTGGTGTTGTTGTTGTTGTTATTGTTAATATTATTATATCATTTTTATATTCATTTTATATTCACGGGGAAGCGTTAAACCCGTGGAGGCCATGCAGAAACAGGGGCAAAGGGAGATAATCAGGTTTGATAAGAGGAAGGAGAAAGCAGCTCCAACTAGTTGGATCAAGAGAAGAATTAATAGAGTTAATAATAAGTCACAATTCCGAGACAAGAAAATAAAAGATAATGACATAATCTGTATGAGTAAAAATTAAAGCTGATAATAATAGATTTTTAGAGATAAAATAATAAGAGTCATTACAACTGATAGTGATACACTTGTGTAATGGTAATGGTGCTACGGTACACTCTAGTACTACGACTGTAGTACCAAAGTGTACAACAACAATAGTACTAACGTGTAACACATTTACGTTCAGGTCGGAGCTTTCATCATGTTCCTTGTAGGTTTGTCAGGACGGGTCCTGTCCCGGGTCTTTTTCATATGGTGGCCCGGCAGGGGCTCCCGAAGGAGTTTGGCAGGGAACGGTGAGCATTCGTGTCAAGTGTAGTACCGTTACAACCCTGTGGCGGGGACAGCTTTATGACAAGGCCACGATGTGTCTTATTCAGGTCAGGTGAGTACTGCTTAGAGCCCTATGGCCGGGGAAGGCCTATGACAAGGGCGCGGCTTGGAGCTTTACCAAGACACTAAAAATATTCTACAGAGAGCCGAATACCTTTCCAATAAAATTTTCTCCTGCAACGCGTCTTTCACTTGACTGTTGTCAGCAGTACGCCATTGGGAACCAATATTGGCGGCGCTACAAACGCATTTGGGATGCAGAAATACCTCCAATGCGAATTGAGGCCATTCGTCTAAATTCCCCCTGTTCCACTTTCCCCTTACTGGCCTTCACGAAGACTACAATCCATCAAACTGACAACGCCATGATCCAATTACTTTCTAGTACCCCGGCTTCACTTGCTACCTCGGAGAAGAGAGAAGAAACGATGCCATCCAGCATCCGGATCTTCCCGATCTCTCCATTAGCATAAAAAGGATATTATCCATCGTTATCCCCACACGGCGTCATTCCACGGCCAAAAAAAATGCGAGCTATCTTCCACGTAAAAGAAATAAAGGGAGTTTATAAGCGGATCAGAGTGTGTTGGACAAAGTCAAATAAGCAGTGAATATTGCTTCGGTTTTGTGATGTTCAGTCTCGTAAAGTCTCCTGTCTGCGTGTTCCCGAGAGATGGCATTTCGAGAAAACTTACTTCGCTATCTGATATTTTATTTTTGCAAAAAAAAAAAAAAAAAAAAAATACATTTTGCTTAACGGGTTTGACTTCAGTTAATTAACTCTAACTTAGTGTAACTTAAGTGTAACGTAACTTAAGCTAGCTTAACATAGTCTAGGCTAACCAAACCTATCCTACGATAACCAAAGCTAGCTTATCCTAACTTAGCACGTTATATTTTGGAAGAAGACAGTGCTAAGATGACTAACAATAATAATTATAATAATGTAATGAATGGCAATATCTACATTATTTTTTAAATAATTTTAAAGTTTAATTTTACTTCTGTTGTTTTGTATCGTATTTTGTTATATATCTTCTTTTTAATCTACAATAAAAAATTACATGAAAATAAAAATCGAAATCCTATTTTTGGGGGAAATGCATTTTTTTTTTGGGGGGGGGATACATTTAGCGTTGACGAATCGAACAATATCTGCAAACTATTTTTATTATATATCAATGGCAATCGAGTAGTGAACGATTCAATACTGCAACAGGTATTGGTGATCAATGTGTAATTACGAACTCGAAATAGGAGCACCTGCGACAGTAGCAGGTCTTTGAAATTGAGTGCTAACTCAACAGGTAAACACCTGTCATAGCAATCAACAGATGGCAGCACCTTACGAGCTACACTTCTGGGCAATCCATCCAGCTTCATTTCTTCATTTGTTGAGATATTTCTTATCGTTCATAAACTTCTCGACTTAATGGTTCATTGTGTAACTGCCTGTGTACACGGTAGTGACGATCAGTGAATACAGTGGTGACACAGTAAATGCGGTATAAGAATTGGAAGGCGATATGCAGAAAAGTTTTTAACTGAAAATGCGTTTCGTTTAGAGGCTGAGCTTGTATCAAGTAATAAAGTTGATACTTTTTAATACATCATTGTTTACCGAGGGTGAAGTAAGAACAATGAACGATCTTAGGTGTTGATAATGCGGGGAACGGAGTACCTCTACTCCGTCTTTTCCGTGCAAGATAATTTGTCCCAAGGGCTTTGCTAGGCTGAAAGCACACTGGACGCAACCTTCATTACGACTTACGATGGAGTAAAACCAGAGTGTAATCATGCTATCTAAACCTCTTGCACGAATATTACCTTGTCAACTGCTAGCGCTTCACCACACACACGCGGCAGCACAAGTCATGCATTGAAATATCGCTTGGATAACGGCAAGTAGAAGAATGAGACATGGGCACCTTTCCGTGCATATGTCGTTCTTTTATCAAGGCTGATGGAGTGAAGATATGGTTCCTAGGCTGAGGGACTGATTACCTGAAATTCCATCTTCACACTTCCATCCATTCATCTTATTCAACCCACATCGTCACCTCACTATTCACCTGACCAGACGTACTACGTGTTTTCTATATAACATTCTAGCGCTGTATAGCCCTTGTGGCTTAGCGCTTCTTTTTGATTATAATAATAATATATAACATTCTTAAGTTCACCTTGAAGTGAAGCGCCGTCGTAATAAGGGTTTACCCTGTTCTCTGTATCATAACATTAATGGTTAGGTTAATGGTATACCATGATATACCAGTAATGGTATACAACACCACACCTGTTTTGTGTCTTTATTCAACAGTCTGTAAAACAATATGTGGTGAACCTGAATTTATAGCTTATCTTCGGCAATGCATTTTTGACACTAGAAAGTCGCTTCCAAAGTTATATAACATAACTGGCGGGTTCTGGCCTCGTACCATAATTTAGGGAAGTTCCTGAAATACGCTTTACCTTTTAATAACTCTCTGATTGAACGACACATTAAACCGTCGATTTAACGACACATTAAACCATCGATTTAACGACACGTTAATCTAAAGAGGAAGGTCTATCCCTACGAGTTTAGTGTTTCCCCTTGAATATAATCATTATAAGAACCAGCTGATTTAATGACGCAATAAATTAGGAAATAGTGAACAGCTCTCACCGACAGTGTTCCTATTATTTTTTTTCAACGAACCGGCCGTCTCCCACCCAGGCAAGCTGACCTAAAAAGAAAAATGAAAGTTTTTCATCTTTCTTTTTATTTAGTAATTTATAAAGGAGAAGGGGTTACTAGCCCCTTCCTCTCAGCATTTGAGTCGCCTGTTATGACACGTCTGGCAGATGAAGATTTTTTTTCCACTTCCCCGTGAAGAAATGTTGTTAGTATTATTACAATAAAATGGTTATTAAGTCCAGCAAACAAGTTATATTAAGAATAATGACAAACAACTTGGACAGAAACGTGAAACACAGGAAGAAAAGAAATCTCTCTATTTCAGCCACAGTCAGCCGATTTGAATGAAACCAATTAAAAAATCTCTTTTTGCCTGTGTTTCAGTTCTCTGTTCAAGTGGTTTCTCAATTTTCAGAGGAGGCAGTATAGTAGTGGAGGAGGCAGTATAGTGGTGGAGGAGGTGGTGGAGGCAGTATAGTGGTGGAGGCAGTGTAGTGGAGGAGGCAGTATAGTGGTTTAGGAGGCAGTATAGTAGTGGAGGAGGAAGTATAGTGGTGGAGGAGGCAGTATAGTGGTGGAGGAGGAAGTATAGTGGTGGAGGAGGAAGTATAGTGGTGGAGGAGGCAGTATAGTGGTGGAGGAGGAAGTATAGTGGTGGAGGAGGCAGTACAGTAGTGGAGGAGGAAGTACAGTAGTGGAGGAGGCAGTATAGTGGTGGAGGAGGCAGTATAGTAGTGGAGGAGGAAGTATAGTGGTGGAGGAGGCAGTACAGTAGTGGAGGAGGCAGTACAGTAGTGGAGGAGGAAGTACAGTAGTGGAGGAGGAAGTATAGTAGTGGAGGAGGCAGTATAGTGGTGAGGAGGTAGTGTAGTGGTGGAGGAGGCAGTATAGTGGTGGAGGAGGCAGTATAGTAGTGGAGGAGGCAGTATAGTGGTGGAGGAGGCAGTATAGTGGTGGAGGCAGTGTAGTGAAAGAGGCAGTATAGTGGTGGAGGAGGCAGTATAGTAGTGGAGAAGGAAGTATAGTAGTGGAGGAGGCAGTATAGTGGTGGAGGAGGTAGTATAGTAGTGGAGGAGGCAGTATAGTGGTGGAGGAGGTAGTATAGTAGTGGAGGAAGTATAGTGGTGGAGGAGGCAGTATAGTAGTGGAGGAGGCAGTATAGTGGTGGAGGCAGTGTAGTGGAAGAGGCAGTATAGTGGTGGAGGAGGCAGTACAATAGTGGAGAAGGATATAGTGGTGGAGGAGGCAAATAGTGGTGGAGAGGCAGTATAGTGGTGAAGGTAGTGTAGTGGTGGAGGAGGCAGTATAGTGGTGGAGGAGGTGGTGGAGGCAGTGTAGTGGAGGAGGCAGTATAGTGGTGGAGGAGGTAGTGTAGTGGAGGAGGGAGTATAGTGGTGTAAGAGGCAGTATAGTGGTAGAGGAGGCAGTGTAGTGGTGGAGGAGGCAGTATAGTGGTGGAGGAGGCAGCGTAATGATGGAGGAGGCAGTGTAGTGGTGGAGGAGGCAATGTAGTGGTAGAGGAGGCAGTGTAGTGGTAGAGGAGGCAGTGTAGTGGTGGAGGAGCCAGTGTAGTGGTGGAGGAGGCAGTATAGTGGTGGAGGAGGCAGTGTAGTAAGGGAAGAGTCAGTATTGTAGTGGAGGAGCCAGTGTAGTGGTGGAGGAGGCAGTATAGTGGTGGAGGAGGCAGTATAGTGGTGGGAGGCAGTGTAGTAAGGGAAGAGTCAGTCTAGTAGTGGAGGAGGCAGTGTAGTGGAGGCAGAATAGTAGTGGAGGAGACAGTGTAGTGGAGGAGGCAGTATAGTAGTGGAGGAGGCATTGTAGTGCTGGAGGAGGCAGTGTAGTAGAAGAGGCAGTATAGTAGTGGAGAAGGTGGAATAGTAGTGAAGGCAGTATAGTAGTGGGGGCAGTATAGTAGTGGAGGAGGCAGCTAGGGACTCACCATCAGGGTAGTGTAAGAGGTCAGGCACGTCACTGAAGACGGTAGCACAAGACTCGTTCACAATCCTCCCAGCCTGTGTCGCTGGCCAGCAGTACAGCGAGTCCCAAGTGGCGTTACAGTACACTCCTGCAGAAGGCGGAGAAAGTATTGTATACTAGAGCACTGGGCTCAAAGAAACAATCATTACGCTGTACAATACAAACCACACATCCGTACACACGCTTAAATACACCCACAATCAAATTAAATACACCAACAATCAAACAGAAGTGTAATTCACGATGTTGAAAATGTTTAAAAAAAATAAAAATCCTTTTAAATATACTAATAGCTTCTCTTAAAGGAAAGATTACCGAGATCCCGACAGGCATCTCAGTGCTTTGTAAAAATCATAAAAACTAAACTTAAAGGAGTCAGACAGCAGCTAGACAATGGAAGGAAATATGGGTTTATCCAGGGAAAGGAAGAGTACCATTAATGACTATAAGCACGAGCCATTCATCAGCAACTAATCTCCAGAGAATATTCTCATTGTAGCTAATCTTGTGGAAAGAAAATGGTCACATTTCCATATCATGCTGAATCGTGTGTAGCTCTGATGCTTGTTTGCATGGCCCGCTATTTTCCTAAAAAAAAAAAAAAAAAAAAAAAAAAAATATTGACCCACTGTGAGGCAGAATTGTGTTACAGAGTAAGCCCGATGTAGAAACCTAGATGTGGTGAGAGTGTAGTCGTAAAAATATTAGTAAAATTGCCAACAGTAAGGTAGTATAGGGACACATTGAGAAATAGACAAAAACTGCGGCTATGATTCTCTCTCTCCATGAGCTTAGTCAAATCAATATTGTCTTGATAAAGCTCCCAGAGAGCGAGAAGTAGCCTCAGTTAAAGTCACATTATTTGCTCGTGTGTTCTTTTACCTATCAATAGATAGCAGTCAACGAGAGAAGAAACCTCTAGGTAAACTATGCGTATCCCAGATGGTGAAAGTGTTCACAGTTTTTTATAAGGCATTGTTTGCAATAATAACACATAAAGCAACAATCCTCTTTAAAGAAAGTCAATGGCAGTATAACGACAACAGTAGCAGGTGGTAAGGGCGTTAGTATCAGGTAGTTAGTGAGGGAAGACTTACATTCACAGATTGTGAATAAAAAGGGAAGGTTTTTGTCCTTAACTCGTGATTAAGGCAGCAATTTCCAATACATAAAGTAAAAGGACACAAGTGCAACTAATGTGATATTTTATTGTGGCAGCGTTTTGCTCTTCAGGAGCTTTGACAAAGCTCCTGGAGAGCGAAACGTTGCCACAATAAAATGTCACATTAGTTGCACTTGTGTCCTTTTACTTTACATATTGTCGGTAATTCTACCAACACTATTACAATTTCCAATACAAAAGAGGAGAGATTCGCTCCCTTTGCCCCGCTGCCTCTGGGACCTGATCCCAATAATCCCAAAGGAGTCCATTAATAACACTAATTTAAGATAACTTCAGCGTGGCAATCTGGATTGCAGGACTGGATCCGATGGTAAATATAAACACATGTTCGGGGGGTTAAGGCAGGATTGGTACTATATAACCAACAATTTCGTTAAGGGATGTTTAAATAAACATAATATTATTATTAAAGTTTGCATTATCAACTTTTAAAATTACAAATCTAAATTTTCTTTATATAATCCTCACCTCTCCTTTCTCTTCCCTCTCCTCCCATCCCTTACTTCTCTGCCGTCACCTCTTTCCCCTCACCTATATACATGACATAGCAGACTCTCGACACCCTCTCACTACGCCCCTGGGAACTCGTACCTATGTTGCAAAGAGTGCAGGTTGCACCTGCCCTGACAGCCTCATGCAGGAAGTGTGTCTGCTTGAGCGAACAAAACTTTTCCGTCAAGAAAGACTGTGTGAAGTCTTCTGTTTTAAATTTTTTTTAATGCCTCTTTGGAAATAATGCTCTCCAGCGTTGTTAAATACCACTCCGCTGGACAAAACTTCGTGTGGAGCTTGATTTAAGAAAATTTTTTATTTTTATGACCCTACTGTGTGTGTGTGTGTGTGTGTGTATGTGATTACCTGTTTATAATCACTAAACCTGTATGAGTTTGAGGTGGTAGAGCTAAAGTTCACTGTATCCTCGTGTAACCGAGGAATTTATATACAGCAGCAAGGTGGGATCCATCGTTGATTAATGTGGAACTTCAATCAATTTTCCCATCTTTATGTTTCTTTCCTTTCATCCCAGCCTGCTTTTTCACTTTAATGAGCAGTCTTTTATTTATCAAGTGTTTTCCTGCAGTCTCTCTCTCTCCCTATCTCTTCCAGTCTCTTATCTAAGCTCTGATAAAATGTGTCGTCATGTCTTAATCTCTGGAGATAATTTACACTTTCAGAAAGTGTCTTTTATATAATATTTGATACCATTTTGCTTATTACATTAGTTAGGGACAGGTCTGCAGTCCCTAACTAATGTAACCTTTCTCAAGTATGTATTGGTATTATCTTTGCTATTAAAGATCTGCTGCGCATCATTTCTTTATCTCCATGCTTTTTTTTTTTTACCTCATTATTGCCACTGATAATTTATTTTTATTTTTATTCTATTGTAACTGTGAAAAAGTTTTGGTTCTGCTTTTGCCTTGCCTGCTATATGCATCTAAAAAATTTTCGGCTTCCCTCCTCATTAAGGGATAATTATAGATTTTCTGCTAGCTAATTTGTTCTTTGGGGATGAGTTCAAACCACGGGCTCTCCCACTGCTATTTAACTATTCCCCCGAGGTTTGTACACGCTTGTCTGTCACTTCTTGAATATTCTGATTGAAAATTACGATCATTTTTTGGGTGTATCGTTTCTTGAATTTTTCTTTCCGCTGTGCAAGAGCCAAAAAATTCTTCTTCGCATTTACATTTCCTGTGCATCAGTTTTTTCGATTCCCTATCTCCTCTTTTCTCCATTTTCACTTCAATTAAGCTAGTTGAATGGGAACATACGGTGATCGCTGACCTCGAGGGGCGCGTTATATTCTATTCTCTCTGTCAGCTTCGTTGGATTTGAAAAGAAGGAAAATTCCCAGAATTACAGTCCTGGCCAAACTTGATCGTCCAAGAAGTGGGGAAATTATTCCATGAGAAAGCGAATCTGGGCCAAGAATTAAAGGAATGAGAGTGTCGGGTTGCGGCAACGGGCAGTCGGATGTATAGCGGAGGTTTGCAGCGATTCCAGGGCCAGGAAAATCTATTTAGAAGTGAGTCGAAGCGTTAGAGGATCAGGAAGAGTGACTGAGAAGTGGGAAGAAGTGTCGAAAAACCAGGAGAGGTGAGATGCGAGGTTGAGAAGTGGAATGTGGTGGTAGGTACGCTGTGGAGTGGAAACCCAGGGAGAGAGAGATGAGAGGCTTTCTCCTTTGCTCAAGAGTTACACTCTTTCAGGGGTTAAAAAGAGAAACAGCATAAATTCAGGAAGCACGGCTTATTTTATTTCAAACTCTCATCTATATCACTTTTACTGCTGACATTTATATATTTTGGTTAATCTCAATAATACATATTTATTGCTGTCTTTTTTTTTTTATATTGATATTGCTGTTGTTGATGAGGATGAGAATGGTGATGATGATAATGATAGCAGTAATTTTCATTTCTCTAATTATTATCATGAGTATTGTTGGTTTTTATAGTATTCTAACATTTACAGTAGTCATGTTCGTAGTAGTCCTGCTACTACTACACCGCAGGTATAAGTGGTGTATTAAGTTGAATTTAATTTAATTTTTCTCTGATAGTCGTATATCTGTTTTGTCTGTGCCTCATTTTCCTGACAAGGCCTTTCGACATTCATTACCTCTCTCTCTTGCGTGCCCCCCCCCCACACACACACATAAACACACACACACACACACACACACACACACACACACACACACACACACACACACACACACATACACACACATACACAGACATACACACACGCACACACACACATGTGACAAGCGGGGTTCCACAGGGGTCAGTCCTAGGACCTGTGCTGTTCTTGGTATATGTGAACGACATAACGGAAGGGATAGACTCAGAAGTGTCCTTGTTTGCAGATGATGCGAAGTTAATGAGAAGAATCAAATCGGATGAGGATCAGGCAGGACTACAAAGAGACCTGGACAGGCTACAAGCCTGGTCCAGCAACTGGCTCCTTGAATTTAACCCTGCCAAACGCAAAGTCATGAAGATTGGGGAAGGGCAAAGAAGACCGCAGACACAATATAGTTTAGATGGCCAAAGACTGCAAACCTCACTCAAGGAAAAAGATCTGGGGGTGAGTATAACACCGAGCATATCTCCTGAGGCGCACATCAGTCAGATAACTGCTGCAGCATACGGGCGCCTGGCAAACCTACGGATAGCGTTCCGATACCTCAGTAAGGATTCGTTTAAGACTGTATACCATTTACGTCAGGCCCATACTGGAGTATGCAGCACCAGTTTGGAATCCACACCTAGTCAAGCACGCCAAGAAATTAGAGAAAGTGCAAAGGTTTGCAACAAGACTAGTCCCAGAGCTACGGGGATTGTCCTACGAAGAAAGGTTGAGGGAAATCGGCCTGACGACACTGGAGGACAGGAGGGTCAGGGAAGACATGATAACGACATATAAAATACCGCGCGGAATAGACAAGGTGGACAAAGACGGGATGTTCCAGAGAAGGGACACAGACACAAGAGGTCACAATTGGAAGTTGAAGACTCAGATGAATCAAAGGGATGTTAGGAAGTATTTTTTCAGTCATAGAGTAGTCAGGCCGTGGAAGAGCCTAGAAAGTGACGTAGTGGAGGCGGGAACCATACATAGTTTTAAGGCGAGGTATGATAGAGCTCCTGGGGCAGGGAGAGAGAGGACCTAGTAGCAATCAGCGAAGAGGCGGGGCCAGGAGCTGTGACTCGACCCCTGCAACCACAAATAGGTGAGTACAAATGGGTGAGTACACATACACACACACACACACACACACACACACACACACACACACACACACACACACACACACACACCACCTACACACACACACACACACACACACCTACACACACACACACACACACACACACACACACACACACACACAC